GTGGAGATATTTTTGGCTATTTAAAGTCCAACAAAGAAGCAGGGAAGCATTCACTGCAAACACTATGAAAAGGATGTTTCCACGACGGCAACAGTGTATATTTAACCGTTCATCTGCAAAACCAAGACGTTAATGTCCCAGACTCTTTCTCTGTACGACAAAAGAATGAACAGACAGTGACGTCACAAATTGCGTTATTGTAAAAGACACCAGGCCAGAAAGATAAGTTGCCTGATTAAAGTAACCGACTTGTTACGAACTCCCTGGTCACGAACCTTTCCCTCAGCCAACTCTTTTCCAGCAGCACAAAGTGTAGAGAGATGGCTGAATAGCTGTGTCGTACTTCGGTTTTGTGGTCAAGTCGCACATCTGATCCAAATATGACTCTCGCTGCCCTTTCATTGAGACAGCACTGCTGTTCTTGTGGCTTTAAAAAGAAAAGACTGATCTATTTATTTGCCTTGTGGCATAAGTGGACCATAACTAAAGAAGTTTAGTATAGATTTTTTTTGTACTTCTATTTTATTTATTTATTTCCAACTGACAACAAAAAAGACAACAGTGCATCACTTTCTTCTTTCATCACGTCACAGGACTGTTGTTAACTGAACCCAGTAGGAAGCGGTGTTGCTTTTGTTTGCTGCGCCCTTTAAAAGATAAATGTTATAATTATTGAGCTGTGACTGTGAAAAAACTACTCTAGAAGAGTTAAAGAATAACAATATGGAGCTGGAAATTAACATATTAAGTCTGGTTTTATAGAATAGTTCTGGATCATTTTAGTGAGCCTGCACAGGTATTCAGCATTAAGAGAACAGTTTTAATATCCAATAGCGATTGGCTGAAATGTACTCACAGTGTGGAAACAGAGTGGACAGAGGCTTGCTTGTAACTTAGGTATGCAAAACTCACCATGCAATGAGTCTGGTGTCATTCTTTTGCAATAAAGTGCAGCTGTCAAAAAGCATGGGTGGATGCATAGTTTTCATGTCATAGGGTCATTATGACACGGCAGAAGTGGGATAGTCATAATAAATCATGTCATCATTTATGAGTAATTTAGGGTTAAAGATTTGGGTTTTGCTCTAGTCAATGAATTGTTTTACTTCACTTTTGGAATGATAGCTGTGATACTGAGATTTGGAACAGGATTCCTGTACAGCAATGTTATCATTGTAGCTTGAAGTATTGTGTTCATAGCTGAGAGGATTAAAGCCAGATTCAAGCTGATGAGAAAATCTACAGCCATACCACCAAAAAGGGAAGAGATCATTTATTACTCATCAAATGACTCTTAGGATTTATTCAGACAAAGCTATCTATAGACTTCTGGAATATACCACAGTTATTTCTGTGTAACCCTCTTCAAGTGAAGCTCTTCCACTCTAGGATGTGTTTTTCTTGGTTATTACTGCAAACTGTCTCATTTCAGTTTGGTGTCACAGGGAGTTGTTTGTTGA